GACTCTCTGTAAACCGCTTAGAGAGGCCTGAAAGGCCTATGAAGCGGTATATAAGTCTACTGCTATTACTGCTATTGTTCCAAGTCACTGTGAATCTGGCAGCAACTACCTTGGCTTTAATTATTTTAAAAAAATTCTTTAAAATTCTTTCCTTTTCCTCATGACTGGTGAGGCCACACCTTCCTTTCCTCTAGTGACTGCACGTCCCTGTATCCAAAGCATCTAAAGCCGGACAAAAAGTAGTGGATATAATATTAGTAAAGAGAGATCCACCCTAGAATTAAGGAGAAACTTCTTGACAGTGAGAATAATTAATCCATGGAACAGCTTGCCTCTAGAAGTTGTCGATACTTCACTGGAGGCTTTCAGGAAGAGAGTGGACAACCATTTGTCCAAAAGTGTATAGGGTCTCTTGATCAAGCAGGGGATTAACTAGACTTCAAAGTTCCCTTCCAACTCTGTTATTCTATGTTTTCTGTGATTTCTATTTTTAATGCCAAACTGCACTCATATTTTCACTACATAAATTGTCAAAAAGGCAGCAGTATACTTGCTCAAGATGCTATGGAAAATTGCATATCTTTAGAAGCCAAGCATGCTGTTTGCCAGTGAAATACAACTGTTTCCCAAAATTAAGGATATATTTTCCGGTTCCCAAAATGAACCCAGATCTTCTTAAACTGCCAAGGCTGCTAGGATCAGAGGACACACTGAGAACACACTGTCAGTGTTCTCACAATAGCAACCGGGTAAAAGAGAAGCATGTTCGTACACACAATGGCTGCTAAAACACAGTACACATTTGTACCTTTGTCCTTTTGTTGAGGTTGTGAGGAATCAAAAGTAGTAACACTTTCAAGTAAAGCAATAGATAGAAATTGTTTATCATTTTTATAGTCAGGTAGGGCAGAAGGTGTCCGGGGACTTTTCAAGCACAAAGAGAAGTGTCTGGAGATACATTAGCACTCCACTGATACCTATCCAGTTCATAATATAATCACCTGTCCAAGTATTCATATGGATATGAAGGAGGTATGTTAGGAGAATAGAACAATGTTGTGACTCTAAGGCTTTATTTCAATTGATACATTCTTGGTAAGCTCGGGAGACCTTGCACTGTTTCCCTTCAGGCCAAATCTTTCTCTCTAAGGAGGTCCTTGGACAAAGCACAATGCTGAAAACCTCCTCAGAATGTGAGAAGTGTGAGAGAAGACTGCTGTCACCAAATATGTACAAATGTATCTGGAAGGAACCAGGCACAAGTGGCCATGGAGAAACAGTGGAAGGGTGTGCAGGTTAGGGCTAATCTATAGTAGTAGCCTTACTACTTTAATTGGAGTATGGCTCTTCATTAATGATTTTAGAATTAAATCTTTGGCAGCCTATTTCAAATCACTCAGAAGTCAACCAGAAGTTCCCAACTTAACCTCTGCTCACCCATGAGCCAAGCTACTCCATGCCCAATGAACGAAACCAGCCTTATAGCAGTCCCCCAAAATGGCTATCCAAAAAGGACCTTACAGATCTTTAAAAACCTAAAGGGGAGAGAACCCACCCTTCTTTTAAGCCGACTTTAAATAGATTGGTTGAAAAGGGAAGGTATATAGAGAGAGTAAAAATAAATCCCATTCTGTCTTGTGATGGATAGAGAAATCAAAGTAGAATTTTGCAGGAATGGTATAATCACTGTTTTTGCAAATGTGTGGAACATGGAGGATTCCCCTGCTGTTTGGGACTCAGGCATAATGATGACTGTGGCTTGGGACGACTGGAGATCTCAATCTGCCTGCTGAGTTTAGCTTGGAAAATAATTAATTATTCTCCCTTTCTCTGACACATATTTTATTATTGAATAAAGAAAAAAAGGCAACTTTTTCCATGCAATGTTAATTCCATTTAGAGAAATATTAAAAGCAAGCAAATGATATGAATGCAAGAAAAATAAAATTGGTTAAGCTTTTAAAATTATTATTGTTTGCTGGATAAAAAATATATATTTTAGTTTCAAAGTTTACATCACCTGGATTGGGTTTCCCAGTTTGATACTGCATTGAACTGAAAAATCTGAAATAAAAAAGGTTAACAATTCTAAAATCCATCATCTCTCACTTCAGACTGTACAGAGTGAAACTACTGAATTAATAGTGGAATCCCTTTTATTGATGAAATTATTACAGGATGTAGTTTATATTCAAGCTTTACGGATGTTTGTCATACTCATTTCCAAAATGTTCCATGTTAAGTTTACTGTATTTTAACAAAATTTAGGATTCTTCCAAGATTATGGATACCACCTTCTAGAATATTTATGGTGCCATGTATACCATCTAAGGCACATATCTCAAAGCATTGATAGTGATATTATATGATGATACAGTTCAGGTATTTTATTAGTGTGGCTTTAGAATTAAAATGAGGCGTACAGAAAAAGGGAGTAGCTTTGAACAAACAATTAAGGACAAAATAAATAATTCACACAAATTACCTGTGGTCACAGACCACAATTAAACAAGATCATTGAGAAATAAAACTTCTTCCATCTCCTAATAATTCTGAAACAGCAAACTACTTTGCCAATACAAAGTAATGCTGTAAATCAAGCCCAACTATTAATCTGCAAAATGAAAGTTTCAGCTATGTGACAGATGATCTCAAAACGTTTATACAAGAAGGAGCCTGATTGGAACATAGACACCCGAAATTTCAGAGACCCTTCAGGAAAAGCAATCTGGCAGGGAGAAAATAATGGCCAGCCCTTTCTGTTGTGACCAAGAATCCCACATAGATTTTCCTGGAAAGTCCCAGGAATCAAGCTCAACCTAAAGAAGACTTACTCTTGAATTATTGGAATAAGTTGTATACCAAGATCCTCACAGTAAAACCATCTTTCAAAAAGGACATCTGTTGATTCTCCAACATAATATCTGGGAAAAGGGGGAAAAAGAATATAAATATGTAGATTTATATCTTTAATATAGAAAAGAGGGGATAATTTACTGTTAAAAATAATGTATTTTGTCATGAACATGAAAAAAATGAGTGCATGATGCTTTGAATTTAATTCAGACAAGCCTGCAAGTTTGGAAAAACTGGCTATATGATATCAAACAAGATTAACAGAAAAGAAAAGAAATGTGTAACAGATTAACAGAACAACAGAGTTGGAATGGACTTGAAAGTTTTCTTGTCCAACCCACTACTCAAGCAGGAGACCCTATATTAGTTTACACAAATGGCTATCCAGCCTCTTCTTGAAAATCTCCAGTGTTGGAGCATCTGTAGAGACTGCTTATTAGAGGCTTTTTTAAACAGTTAAGCAGAGTCATCCATGGTGACTCTGGCAGCAAGTAGCTCAGCCTGACCTCAGCTCTTGCCTTTTTCCTTTTANGACTCTGGCAGCAAGTAGCTCAGCCTGACCTCAGCTCTTGCCTTTTTCCTTTTAGATTTTTTTTCTTTTCATGATGACAGTGGTGAGACTCTGCCTCCCCTGACTGCACATCCCTGTAGTGACTCTATATAGAAGTGAGAACATCTCCCACAGCATAACACTGCCCATATGCTCATATAATTCATTAATAGAGGTAAAGATTTTAGATTATTTTTCAACTCTAGAACCTGTCAGAGAGGCTTATAACAATAAAATCAGATTTATAATAAAATGATATCTCACCTCAACCCATCAGTTTCTGTGTCTAATCTTCTCCTTTCAATGACCAGTCCCACAGAGTTTGCATACCTTTGTGGAGAATGTGGAATCCTGGCTGGTAAAAGAAACATCTAAGAACAAAATTAAAGTTGAAACATGTAGCAACAGCAGGAGATTTGGTTACATCTTCTCTGTCATCTCAGTTGGTCTTTGTTCTCCCATTTGATTTTTCCTTGAATGCCTTGAGTGATTGAAAAGGAGTTTAGCAATAGGAGGAAATGTAATGGGAAGAAAGAACAACCTTAAGGAACAGCAGGAAGAGCCCCTACCAAGATAACAGTCAGATAAAAGAAATCCAAGTCTAGAGCAGGTAAGACCCTCCTCCCTAATTCTTGAGAAGATAAAGGGAGGAGGAAGGGAAATACATTCAAACTAGTTGTAGCATTATAATAAAAATAGGATTAGCATTCATTACTTTTGTTTCCTAGTATGGTCTAGCTTGAAAGGCTCAAGAGGATGAGACAGAAGAATCATGCTTTCTGAGAGACTCATATGCTCAGCTGTGCAGAATGAAAAGTTCACCTCTTGAATAATTGCTGGCTCAAAGGAGTGTGTTCTGATGCTGTTGATTGCCCACGGTGTAGGACTAAATGGCTGCTTCCTGCTGAGCAAGCAGGCCTTGTGCAGAGAATGCAGGAGGAATATAAGGTAGTTATGAAGAAGAAAACTAAGCAAGTAAGCTAAGTTTTTTAGATTTTTAGCAAGAGTTGAATGTCTATCAAATTTTCCTTCTAAGAGGAAAGTGGACATTAGGGCAATCTGAGGGTCTAAGAAAGGAAGAAGAAAAAATAAATGCTTTTCTAATTACAGTGTCTTACAGAATAGAAGTGAAGATAAACATGACATGGCTCTCTAATTGTGACTTTCAGTGCTTTCGACATGTTTGTGTTCGTTCATGAAAATAACCTGACATATATTACAAAAGCTACAAACTTGTAGCAATGCTTGAAGAAAAAACTGAGAATTAGAAGAGAGAATGGTCATAGTGCAGTTCATAAGAAAATAAAAGATTTATTAGGACAAGCAAAGAGACACTGCAGCAAAAGCTAACAGTAGAAGTAATTCTACATAAGAAAAATAATCAAAGTAACAAAGAGTTGTCAAAGAATAACAATTAAGAACAAAAAACATAAAATATATTCTGCCAAGTGGGAACTCAGGAAATTATATTGTAGAGAATATTGGCTCTGAGCTTCTGGGGAAGTAGAGAAACTATTTTGTCCTAAGGGAAGAAGAAAACAATAACACACTCCGTTTCCTAGATATCCTCATCAGTGGAGACAGTGATGGCAAATTAGAAACACAAGTCTATCAAAAAAACTACCCACACCAATAAGTGCTCCATTATCAAAGTAACAACCCAACCTCCCACAAGAGAAGCTGTGTAAGAACACTATTTAGACAACCATAAACACTCTGCAGAACCTTGAACAAATGGAAACAAAGCATCTATACAATGTGTTCCAACAAAATGGATATCCACACAACTTTATAAAAAAAAAAATGCCTGACCATTCAGCCTACCATAACTCAACTGACACAAGCTATGAAAAGAATAACACTGCCATATATCCAAAACACCTCAGAAACCAGCAATAGACTATTAGAATCATGTGGCATTACCATAGCACACATACCAACTAAATCCCTCCAAAACATCCTAAGTAAACTAAAAGGCCCAGCAGTCCCAGAAGGGAAAAAAACAGGAGTCAGATATAACATACAATGTAAGGAATGTAACAGTCACTATGTAGGACAAGCAGGTAGAAGTTTAGCAGAGAGCATCCATGAACACCAACTAGAACTATCAGAAGGCATGATGAAAGTTCCTTAATTTCACAACACAGATAGACACAGACAAATGATATTGCCAAAGAATTAAAAATTAACACCATAACTGTCCCACACTTATTTTCATTCATCCTGTTGGACATGGAAGAAGAAGGGAAAGAAGATAATACTGCAGGGGAACAACAAGCCTTGAAAATGATAATTGTGGGTTTCTGGGATCATATTGATTTATGTAGTTGACAGGCTGTTGGCATGAAATTAGTTGTAATTCATAGGTACTAATAAAATGCCACTGCTTGGGAAGGCCTTCAAATTAACACTGAGGAGACGCAATATTTTAGTCCTTCAGTGGACTGCATCTCTGAAGTAACAACCTCAGGTAACACTTGTACCTTTAGAAAAGTGGAAATGCTCCAGTAAAGCAGTCTAATAAACTAGCCAACATCTAGCATTAATTCAAATGAAAATGCTTGTTAAACTATTGCAAAAATTCCAATAAGAAAATAAAATGGGGAAAAAAATTAAGCTAACAAATAAACTCAAAATGTTGAGTGAAGATATGTAAATAAAAAAGGAAAATGTAGGGGACCAAAAGAGTTAGTTCACCATGAAAGTACACATAAAAGGTAGCCAGCTTTGTAGAGAGGGCATATGGAAAACAAAGCATCAGAATAAACTAAGAATAGGAGGAGAAAGATTTCATGGATACATTCAGAAAAAATGCATTTGAGGGTATTATGGGAATTAACTGATGGGCTGGATGAAACTTATAATTATCTTTGCAATTGATGAAGTGAAGTCTAGATATTTGGATGACAGAAAACATAATCAAAGAAGGGTGGGATGGAAATCTGGGTACCTGGAGTCATATTAGACTGACATCAATAATTAGGAAGCTGTAGAGCTAATCATAATGAGATCAATCTATAAGCACCTTAATGGACAGAAGACAGCATGTCAAAATTATTTACATAGGAAAAAGAAATTAAATCCACAGGCACAGAATGACAGATACTTGATGAAAGAGTTCACATACCACGTATGGCAATAAATCTCAACTCTTCCATCAAGCCACAAGCAGTTGGATGAGATCAAAGAAGAAAAGCTATACATGCAGTATTTCTTTAAAGATAGCCTGGAGTACATACAGAAACAGAAACCTGGGAACAGTAAAATAGAGAAACTTGGTAACTGTACAAGGGATTCCCCACTCTCTTTTATAGAAAGCTCATTGGGACAGATTTGAATAATTTGAAATGCTGAATTGCTTTTTATGGGCTATGTTGCCAGTGGGCTTGCCTACTATTTCTTGATTATTTAGGTTTGTTCTCCATTTCATTTTTCTTTCAGCCTCTCCCAAATCTGTCAGATCTCTAGACATTCAACCCGAGTTCTGAACTTTATTATAGGAGACGTTTCACAGACATAATATGGCTAGATAAATTTCACACATATAAACAGAAATAATTTGACTATTGAAGAACATGCATTAGAAATAAATGTTTTCACCAAGGCTTTCAATTTTAATTCTTTTCTTCCCTCATTGTTGAGGTGAAAGACTTTGCCCAACCTTCAGAGTCAGAATTATAGAATCATAGAGCTACAGGAGAAGATCGAGGTCTTTTAGTAGAGCCCCTATCCAAGGCAGGAGACCTTATGAACATCCTGAACAAATACTTGTCCAATCTTTTCTTGAACACATTTTTTCTTGAAAATATTTCCTCGTATAATATATAATGATTCTGAATGGTCTAAGTACTAATTATAGCTCTAGAACAGCTCTTCTGTAATCTTTGTAACAGCACATGTGATAAAGTTCTTAGAATAGCTAATTAAAATTATATCATGATGTAGTATCACAACAACAATAATAACAACAAACACCAACATTTCTCTCTCTCTCTCTCTCCCTTGCTATCTATCTATCTATCTATCTATCTATCTGTCTATGTCTATGTCTATGTCTATGTCTATGTCTGTCTGTCTGTCTGTCTGTCTGTCTGTCTGTCTGTCTGTCTGTCTG